ATAGAATAGATCGTATTATTCACATATGAATATGGTTTGATCGATCTAGGGTTGATGATAGTGTTCTTCATGCATCTAGTTTGATAAATCACATAGGGATATGGATTTAGAAAACCTTAGATAGTGAGTTATATGGTGGAAGGTGATTTCTCTATTTTTGTTACTTGATGATTCCCGAATACAGATTCAATATCGTGATTCTCGCATGCTTAGCATATACCCATACACGCGAATACGGTTCCGACACCCACGGTCATCTTTGCTTGCTAGTTTACACGTTTTTATTGCTTTGCTTCTTTATTTTCTATTCTTTTCATATACTTCCACCATCACTTTCACTTGCTTGCTTCGATTTAGTTTCGATTAGGATTTAGACTTAGCTACCGGTCCTTGTGTTCGACCCCGTGTTACAACGATCCGTATCCTTGCGGTGAGTTGTGAATCGGGTATAAATTCTAGACTCGATACACATGTATCAGGAGGTACACGCTTAGCATTACATAAATAAGGGATTTTCGAAACCACACTTAGATCAAGCATCTACTTTCAAGCTATGAGAACCACCATTTATCCATCTTGCCTCACCAAGATAATATGGCAACCCAGCTTTGGCATGACCCATGACACGTACGATCGAGGCCTTGACAAGTGCTTTACCCGTAGAGCTACTAGATCTAATCGGTTTCTGTGCAACGATTGTACATAATCCGAATAGACTATCCATTCGATTATGGAATCCCAATCCCGAAGCTCCCACTCAATCAAGCATATCTAATATCTTGATTAAGTTCCATGCATTCATTCACTATGGAACATCCAAACGAACGAATCATGTTATTCTGAATCATAGTTGATCGGTTTGAGCAAGATTGCTCAAACCAGATCCCGAAATGAAAAACCAAATTTTGTGAAGCCTGGGACCTAGACCGATCGGTCTAGGCCTAGACCGATCGGTCTACACGGCTCGGTCTCCAGGTCAAGGTCGGTCCAGACCTTTCGGTCCGGAATGGTCTAGTCTGGGTCCAGATCGATCGGTCTATGCATGCAGACCGTTCAGTCCGGACCTGTAGGTCCAATCGACATGCAAAACCCTAGACCGATCGGTCCAGAGGACCAGATCGATCGATCCAGGCGAAAACGTGATCATATCTCGTTTTCGTCGTTTCTGCCCCGTTTCAAACCCAAATTCGACTCCGTTTTCGCCTGCGAACTCAGAATTCAAAGCTCTTGCACACTATGGATGAACAGAAAATCTACTCTAGATCCACAATCAAATCATGTATAGTGATCACATCATCTTTACTTGAGAATTTTATGAGTGGATTGTGATCTTTATCATTGGATTCACGTGCATATGAGTCGTCTAGGGGTAGAGTATGTTCTTGTTTTGGCCATTGCAGGGTCAGGTGATGCAGTGAAGTCTCTGGGAGAAAACAACGGAAAAATCGGACGAAAACGCGGAATGTGGAACAAGAGCAAAAACAGGCTACCGCCCTAGAAAGAGATCTGGCCGCCCTAAAGTGATAGAATGTCTCGAGATTTAACAGAAAATTCAGGAGGGCCGCCCATAAGTTCTGCCGACCGCCCGAAAATGTGAAGCATATTCGGGCTCCCGCCTTGAAACACAAAGAGACCGCCCATTTCTGTCTGACGAAATTCATTTGTTGTTTTGGGTCATTTCCAAGCCCATTAGTGAGAAAGAAGAAAGCCCTAGGGTTTGCTGAACAAAAGAGGAAAGAGGGAAAGAAAAAATGATCTTTTGGCCATTTTGAAAGGGGAAAAACCACTTTGGGGAAAACTTGGAGCTTGGGAGACTTGGAGAAGAAGAGAAGTGGTCATCACCATTGAAGACCAATCTAAGCATTCCTTTCTCTTCTCTATCATGTTCTCCTTTGTTTCTTCTTGTTTTCTTCCTTTGAGTATGAAGTAGAACCCTAGTTGTGGGGGAGGGGTCCCCCTTTTTGTATGGATGTTGGGTTTCAATCTATGGTACTCTTTTAGTTATTTCTATTGGTTTGATGTCTTGACCTTCATGCTTTTGATCTTGGCAAAACCTTGATTGAATGATCTTAGAACAACATTGATCATAGACATATGGGAATGGTGTTTTGACCTAGACATCAAATGAACAAAGCATTCACATTGAGAGATGGTTTGACTTGTTTAGGATTTATGATAGGGGTTGTTAATGCATCTAGGAGTCCTCTAGATCATCGAGAGATGGGTAGTTGATTTTCTAGATAGTAGATCTAAGCTTGATATAGAAAGATCTTACACAAAGAGTCTTGAAATCCCCAATTAGAAATGATCATCATGATTGCCATCACATTTTGAGCATCCATACCCGTCAAAGGGACCCCGAACCCACAACATTCGTGTCCAATCGTTTTCATCACACAAGTTTTGTTTGCTTATTTGATCCTATTTTCATATTTACATTTTCACAAACACCTTGCAATCAATATTTTTCATCACCTTTGATCTAGTTTAACAATGCTCGAAGGGAACAACCAGCCCAAGCAGCCCCTAGAACGCTTCGAACGTACACACAACCGAAGCACACTCAACTACTCTCTTGCA